CAAACAGATCGTTGGATTTATTTTATCAAGTTATGTCAACAATTTCCACTCAGCTGAGTTGAGTGAATGTAATGTAACTTTCACTTGGTTAATTAAATCTTTTTTTTGAGTAGGAGGTAATTTCTACTGTATTAGAAAGGCAGAATGTTTTCATCAAAGGAAATTATATTTAAATTATATTATGGCAGCAAAACATTTCAACAAAGTTGGGACAGGGCCTTGTTTACCACTGAGGATCATCTTGTCAGCTTTTAATGAAACAGCATCACCGGAAAATGCCTTGTCAGAATATAAAACACAAAACAAATCAATATATTTCTCAGAAGTTAGGTGAGATGTAATTTTTTTAAATTTAGTAAAATAAATGAATGGCAAAACAACTTCCAATGCTTCCCATTACTGAGGTACACTGAATGCAACATGATCTGAAGTCTGTGGGAGACAAAAACTACTTGTGATTATGATTATTGAGGTTTTAAATATATATAATTATTGTTATATACTGTACATATGGTTAAAAAATAATATTTTTATTTTTGCTTTTACCTATAATAAAAGCTAATTTTAGGTTTTAGCCAGAACGTTGCTAATTTAGCTTTTAGCTATTTTTTAGCTGATTTTAGGTAATAGCTACAGTCTTGAAAGGTTTTAGGTTTTTAATTACTGCTGGAGCAAATTTTAGTTGTTCAAGTAGCTACTATTTTGCTGACTTTACAGCTTTTGTTTGGTAAATTATAACTTGTTGCCATTATTTGCTCACTTTAGCTTTAAGCTACTGTTTTGCTCCTTTTTTATTCTTTTTGATGATGCAATTTCATCCTTTTTTAAGTCATTTKGCACTCAGCAATCCCACTTGAACAGAAAATGTATTCTAAGCATGAAAAGTATGAAAACTTGTGTTGGGTGGATTTTTGGTTTTAGCAAAGCTTCTTGGCAATCATTTATTTTTTTCATAAATCTTACTATAAACCTTATCTGATTGGTACCTGGGTGTACCAGAATGTCAAACAAGTCTCAATAGCAGCAATAAAATAAAATGTTTGGYAGAGAAGATTTGGTAAACATGTGTGCAACCCACAGCTCTACTGCTCATCCCACAAAGGCATGTTCCTTACAAATGTGGCACCATTTAAATGGGAATTTAACAGGCTTTCCAACATTACAACAAAGAAATACTCTACCAAACACAAATTGTATTACTTTTTCTGCAAATTGTAGCCTTTTCTAGTTTAAAACATTTAATTACTGCACATTCCTCACTGTTGATGAGTAATGTGCAGTTTAATAATAAAATGTAACTGTATTAAAGTAAACGATACAGTATATTATAAAGCAGACCAGTCTGTTTATAGATGACAGATCTGAACCCCGGGTCCTGTCGCCTCATGACTGAAAGCAGATTCCACTCCTCAGTTCACCTCTGTCAGCTCCTGACGGCACTTCTAACCAATCAGATGGTGCCATTCAAAGATCATGTGGATGACTCACCTAATTAATGCCTTTGTGGTGAGGCGGGTTAAAGTGCCAACTTGTTTGTACGAGAAGGTGACACCACTCTGGGTAAAGTGACCAATTAGTGTGACTGTGTGTCTGTTAGCGAGAGCGTGGGCAGACTGGGAGACTTTCACCCATCCAGTCTGACGCACGCTTTTAATCACCTGTCACACTTGTTGAGAGGCACACGCTACAGCAGCAGTGCATAAAGTGCAAGCAAAGCGCTTTCCTCTTCCCTGTACTTCACATGTGTGTGTGTGTGTGTGTGTTCTGGCTCTAAAAGTGATGGGCATTCAGAGGGGAAAATGCCCATTTCTCCCACCTGCAGGAGATGTTGCTGCTGTCAGAGCCAGGAGGCGGGTGGAGATGTGCCCTTGAACTCAGTGCAAAAACAAAACCCGCATCGAYTGGCTTCACTCCCCTGTCTCCTCAAAGAAACACACCTGAGTTAAAGAGAAAGAGAAGGAAAGTCTTTTAATATCTTTCTCTACAGAACAAGTAAACAGGGATTTCTTCACATATATTAACAAACCAAAACTGAAAGTAAACGAGGGCCAAACATTTCTTTAAGTAATGCATATCACTCACTATTTTTCATGAAAGAGCTTTTTATTATGAGTAACAACAGATGTTGTTCCTTTGCTAATAGAAGGTAAATACACTGTATTATATATTTTTTATTTCTATCTGAGAGTAATTCCTAACACATACCTGGAGTGCTTACAGCTCTTGTGATCCAGAGTGCTCCTATTCAGATGTTTTAATTCAACACAGCAGCTAGTTTGTTACAGAACCTGGAAACTATTAGAGAAACACAGCATGAATGCCACTTCCTGCTCAGGTTTGCTTTTTCAATGCAGCAGTTTTTAAACTTATTAGCTTCACAAAATAACTTGCAGAAAGCTGTGACCTTTGATATTRCTGGTTTGCAGACGTTGCTGTTGACTCTGTTAAACATGCATATGAAGTTAAATAGATTGTCCATAAATTATATGGATTTTGCAGGTATGCAGAAGTATACAGAAATTTCATATTTTTCAAAATCTCAGCTTCAAATATGTCTCAGAACCTGGGACATAAAAAAAAACTACACAAACTAAAATAACCACCTCTCATTCTGCTCTGCAGCCATATTGTTGTGCCACAAAGTCAGTGCTTTTCTGTCAGTCGGACTGTTACAGCGGAAGGAAGGGGTGGGTGGTGTCGTGCCCAGTGGTCACTCCGGTAACACCCCCTGAGTGCTCACATCGTGTGAGAGTACTGCAGATTGTTTCCAATTTATAATTTTGCAATATCAGTGGTGAAAATATTCCATCAGCAATTTATTCACATTTAAATAAAATGTCTGGAAATCATCTGGGGACCCTCACTTGATGTTTCATGACCCACAGAGGGGTCTCGACCCCAGCTTTGGGAACCACTGTTTTAGTGGAGACTAATAAATAAAAATGTCTTGTCAGAATATAAAACACAAAACAAATCAATATATTTCTCAGAAGTTAGGTGAGATGTAATTTTTTT